AAAATGTTAATTATTGTAAATATTTTATATATCAAATATTTTACATATTTAAAAAGATAAAATCTAGAATATTTTATACGTATTATATTGCGCAATAATGTAACATGGATCATTATTGCGAAAAAAAAACGATGAAGAGTAAAAAAATGTCACAGATATAATATATATATAATAAATTAAATAAGTTCTAAATTTTTCACTCACGTCACAGTTGTTCTCCATCGTTGCCAGACCTCTTGTTCATCCTTGTTACTTCTTCATGACACACGATTCACACATTCACTCGCGAAAATACAGTTAATTACAATCGGCGTACTAATCACCAAGATATGGCGATCGCAGAGCACTTTGTACGTCACTTTCCATTCCCGTTAATCGCACGCGACACGTAGTTTATTGTAATGCGATAGAATACTATACGAATTAACGCGGCTAGTTACGATGCGATGGACCGTACGAAAATATAATTGTATGCGCGAAACATTTCGAATATGTAGATAAATCGCGCAAAATTAATATGTATTATTTCTATTTTGAAAATCACACAAAATACCTGCTTCAATAAATAGCAGTCACGGTCAGGAATCATTAATTCCTAATTGTAATAGAGTATGATCGCGTTTGACATTTTCTAATACATACTTTTCGTGATCACGCATAATCTAAAGAGATAATACGACGACACACACGGAGCAGCTGCCTGCTCGCTCGACGCGCGGATGACAACAAGGTGACCGTGCGCCAACAACAACATTCCATAGGCCGCAAAAGACGAACATCGAACATCGTACGACGATTTTAATATACATTCGTTATATTCACACGAAATATTTAATACACTAAAAATAGATGTATGTAAAATATTGCATTGCTTGAATATCAAATCAATTATTAATAAACAATTAATTTGTCACTGCTTCTCATTACTTTAATTACTCGATTCGTGAATTACTGTATGTTTCCAATTCGAAAATAATAGGCAAATTACATCTAACAAATTACATTGACAAAAGATTCAAAGTTTAACGTGGAATATATTCGAATCGAAGCATTAAAGAACTAATTATTATCCTAATATTCTCTACGATTAGATTAACGACTCGCAAACGTATATCGAAACAACCATTTATCGAAACAGATATCTCACGCGATTTAATCATTTAAAATGGGAATCGAAACGATAAAGAATTAATTATTAACTATTGTTTCACCGCAATATTTAAGGCAATAATCATTTTCTTAACGTTAAGATTCTCGAACGTATCTACACGTGTTAAATATTTCGTTAAGATAACGAATATATGTATATATAAGGACTTGTTAAGATAATAGAACTTTATATTGATGAACGACAAATATTACACCTTCCGTAATGTACGAACATCGATTGTGTAATGATAATCTTTCCGTTTCTCCGCGCGTCGGAATGTGGTGTATAGAGCGCTATTGTGTATAAAACGTTGTTGTTATTATGTTATAATTCCATTGTTGTCATATGTCGTCAGCTTACATTGTTGTCATTCGTATAGTGAGACTGACGCGAGCAAGTAGTAGCTCTCTGTGTGTCGTCTATAATTTTTCTAAACGCGATCATTTACTGTTAGCAATTAGTAATTAACAATTAGTAATTAACAATTCGTAAGCGTGTCGAAGCGATGCTACTTCTCGAAGTAGATATTTCGCACGATTTATGCATATATATTCATATCCATTTAAAGCGTAATACAATAATCTCGCGAAATTCGTGTTCGAAATGTATCGCGCGTGTAATACTACATTTCGATTGCATTTTCGGACGATCCAATGTGTCATTAAGTTATAAATAGTCATTACATAATATTCTGTAGCAATATAATAAAGTAAGCGTTGTGTGCGATTAATGTTGAAAGTGCAAAGTGATAGGCAAAGTTTTATACAATCATTATATTTTGCTGATTAAATGCCGCGCGATTATAATTAATCGTGTTTTCGCAAGTGAGTACGTACGTCATATGAGTATCGTGAAGGAGCAGCAAAGAATGAACGAGAGAAGAGAAGAAGAGGCTCTCGGGGAGCAACGGCAAGACAATCGTGGGGTGAGCAATATAATTTATTATTATAAATAAGTATATTTGGGGACTCACTCCCAATAATCTTGATCTTGACAACGTGCATATTTATTTTTATTATATATTATTTATCAAAATATATACATAAGCACACAGATGCTTTTTATCTCCGCGATAATGATGTTACATTATTATATGTATATACATATATATAATATAACACATATATATAAAATTTTGTAGGTTTTGTTTTTTTAAATATTTTTAAAATATTTAATAAAATATTTGCAATAATTATATAATATTTCACATATAAAATATTTCAACTTTGCGTAACTTTAAAGATTTATAATTATTTTGAATATTTATAAATATTGAAATTTTATCTATTATCATATTTCATGTTTATATTTGAAAAATTATTTGTCCGTAAATTATGGATTTTTAAAAATATATATTTAAAAAAAATGAATGTATATATTTAAAGAACCCTCTCTCTTAATTGTGACTAATAATTATTTTCTAAAGTATTAATTATTTAGGTAGTTTTTTATAAACTATATCTCTATTTGCATTTATGACAGATGAACGTTTGTATATTAAGTACAACTTCGCCGTTGCGCATTGTATTGCGATGAGTATTAAATTATTTTTTATTTTATATTTTTGACGCCCATAATAAATTTGCAAAAATTATATCAGATGTATACACATACACACAAAATAAAGTATATTTTACTGCTACATCTGTTTTATTGCAAATTCAAATTTTTATATATTGACAATCATCAGAAAAAGATTTTAAATTTTTTCTATTAAATTAATTTTTACAAACTTTGTAAAAATAAATCGTTCTGTTATTTTTACTAGTTTCATTATTTAAAGTCATTATTTTTATTCCTATAGTTGTATTTTTAAAAAAATTAAACATTTTTTGAAGAATAATATAAAATAAAAGATTATAATATATAGTCATTTCATAGCAAATTTAAAGTTTTTGCTTCCCAAGCGCTACAAACGTCAACAAAGTATTCTCGATCGGAATCGTAAATAGTTTCATAATAGATATCCTCTGGCGTGTTTGCTCGGAGACTAAACAATTTACACATCGTCTCGTATACATATTAACCTATCGCAATACAAGTATGACCTATGTAATGTACGACCAATAGCAATTTCGTCGTTGGCTCCAGAGGGAGATGGGAAAAAACAAGAACATTAAATTGCACAATTTCGTGAAATTATTGCGCAACGATACGTGTAACAACCATTTTTTTCTACTATATACCAGCCAATGTCGCTACATTAATATCGGACGCGCCGTAATACCTACAGGTCGAACATATTTAGAACCAACGATTTACAATAGCGAAGTGGCGGAAGAGGGTGTTTTTTTTCCCAACGCGGGAACGCAGAAGGCATCTTTTCTTGACTATAATCGGAATGAGTCTGGGGGACGGGAGAGAGGAGGATTACGGATAAAAGACGCCACCGTCGGCAATAAAGAAGTAGCTGTATAATCTCGCCCGGACCGAGGGCGAGGGTATAATGTACTTACAATTAGGTATCCCTTCACGTTGTATTTGCTTTCATTATTCTCTTTTTCTCCCTCTTCTTTCTTTCTCTTATTCTCGCTCCCCTTTCTCCAAACAAATTTCTCTTTCTCTCTCTCTCTCTCTCTCTCTCCATCTCTCTCTTTCACGCTCGGCAAACCTTCCCATATATCCCTCTGCCATTTATGCTTTAATCAGCGACGCAGTCGAGGTTAAGGGATCTTCCCTGACGCGATGACCCCCCAAGGAACTTCCATCGTTTCCGCCTCCCTTCTGTATATGTATATATATATATATATGTACGAACTGGCGGAAAATACGGGGAAGACGGGTCAGATTCCGCCCCTGGAGCAGAAATTTCCTTGCTCTCGTTAGAACAACTCGGGGGAGAGAAAAGTACTTTGTCCCTTCTTAGAAAGAATAAATAAACGAAACGGCGAGACGAGACGCGTGAGAGACGGTAGGATTGAGTTGGTTGGAAGAGAGCCGGCGCGCGTCTGGGAAATCAGTTATTATAATTAAACCGTCCCGATTATTATCCCGGTTGCGTTTATCGTCGGAGCAAGTCGATCGGGAGATTGGCGCATTCGACACGCCCATTAATTCGCTCTCGAGCTCGTAAGTGGATCTTTAGCTCCTCGAGCTGAACACGATCGGCACGATGACGAGCGGCATCGTTCGATCGGCGGCTATCGAACATTACGGAGTCGCGTGAAGACGAGGACGGCAGTTTCGTTATCCAGGATCGTTGCGCGGTATCAGCGACTTGCACGACGATGTGCGCGCGACGGAGAGAGCGCATCGTCATGATAATTACTCCGTTTTCCACGCTCGAACGAGCGCGTTCTTTCCTATTCGACTTTGGGATTGCCCCCGAAGAAACCTCGTTCCTCGTCTTAGCGAGATGACAAGGATTCATCCAACCGGTGTCTGTAATACAGCGTTCGTCACGGGTCACGCTCCGCTCGTTTCAGCTGTTTCGTCACGCTCCATGGCGCAATAAATCATTTCGCGGAACCGTTCGACCGGAAACCGATTTCGTACGCTGCGCGCTCATCGTCGGTCCTGACTGTCGTCGTCGATGACGATGACGACGTCGAATCGCCGGGGGCGATATATTTGACGTTTCTACCGAGTGAGAAATAATAATTCTTCTCTCCTCGGCGTAACCGCGAAACAAATTTCTTGGCCGCCCGCCAAAGATCATCGAGGAACAGAGCGATTTACTTTCCTCCTGCCTCTTTATTCGACGAGTATCTCGTCCAAAATAATATCCGTCGCATGACAAATACGAAAATCTTTAGAGTCTCCTTTTCATCTTGTGAATCAAAATTACTAAATGAAAATATCCCACTATATATATATCAATAGCTTGATATTGCCAAATGCAATATTATTAAAATTTACAATATATACAAAAAATGAAAGATCTAAGGATTCGTCAAACTTTATATTAAGAAAATCTTTTAAAAGATCATAAAGAAATGTTTTATTAATTTAACAATTCAGCTTAAAATACTAAATGTTTGATTAATAGATGCGATAGAAAAATTTTGAAACATCTATTGATCTATAGATCGTAATATTTGCAAACAGGATATACCTAACTGTTCGGCATTGTAGCTATTCAATAATCATCTACATATTTGTTCGCTATATCTCGCTCGATAAAGCTTTCCATCCCCGATAATAAATTCTGAGCTACACACATAGATATATATATATATATATATATATATATATATATATGGGAGGGTTTACGGCTTTCTATACATATGTGCGAGGACTAAAAAGAAGTGCCAGAGTACCTTTTTGTTGGCGAAGGGTTCGACGGGAAGTGGACCAAGGCAAGTGCCGAAAGTGGCGGGAGACGACGGGAGGAAGAAAAGCGGTGCATTCGATCGTAAAAACTTCTCGACGCCGCTTTGATTTCCCCTTTCGTAGAACGCGGCACATTTTCCGGAACGATTGAACGGTCTCGAGATCGGCGAGAGCTTACGCACGTCTGAATATTTAATAAAGGAATTTGGCGAAGGCATCGCGCCGTTGCGCCTTTAGAAATCGGTTACCGGAAATTGCAGTAGCGTCTGCCGTGCATCGTTACTTTGAGTATTATATTTACACCATGCCGCATATACGCGACGCCTGTATAAGAGGAGAGAGAGAAAGAGAGAGAGAGAGAGAGA